GCGTGCGTGCGCGTGNGNGNGCGNGGTGGCGTGCGGGGGGGGGGGGCGAGCGAGGCCGGCGTGCGGAAACGAGGGTGCGGCCGCTGTCAGACGGAGGTGGGGCGGGGGGTGACGAGGGCGCGGCGCCCCCATCTCGTCGGCGATCGTACGTCCATCTGGCGGCTCGATTAGATTGTCATGCATGCACGCTCGCAGGCAGGCAGTCGGATGCATGCGCATGCGTCCACGTCGACACAGAGGCAGGCCGGAAGGCAGGAGTGGCTCTCCCTCGCCCTCGCGCGGCCAAACCCCCAACGGCAAGCAGGCTAGGCAGTTTGTAAGCTAGGCGGGCAGGCAGGAACAGCTAGAGTACGTACATGGTCATGCATGGCCGTGCTATCGGCGTTGGTGCGGCGTGGCCCCATCGTCCACAAGAGGCACGTACGTCGACAGCAGCGGCAAGGCAGGCTACAGGTGGGCCAACCTCGAACCACACCAGGCCAGGCCGGGACGGCGACATACATCCGCAGAGGGGCGGCCTGCAGACCCTTTAGGCCGGCCCCACTCGTTCCACGACCCAACGCCAGCCTGCCGCCACCGACTACGGATCAACAGAGGGCAACGACGGCCAGTCCAGGCGTACGGACATTCGCCTCCGGGCCAAGCCGCTCACTAGCGTGGGACGTGGAGCGTGGCGGTCGAGAACGAGATACAGGGGCGCGGATGGGGGGGAAAGGAAGATATGGAGCCGCCTACGGATCTGGCGCCACACGATCCTGGCAGCAGAGCGCTCATCGCCTTGCTTGCCCAGCCTCGAACAGGGTAGAGGACCGCGGCGGTCGGGGCAAGGACGAAGCAGCACAGACGGACGGCTTCTCGGCCCACCCCTCTCCTCTTTTTTCTCTCTCTCTTTCTCTGTCTCGTTGCGAGCGCCTTCCGCTTGACCGATCGTCGCAGCAGGACGACGATACGGCGGCGGCCAACGTCGAAGCGTCCGTGCCGGTCTCTCGCTTCTCCTTTGTGCCCGGACCTTGACAACGCCAGGACAGCTGTCAGCGTGCCAGGAGCAGCAGCGCAGCATGCTGCCCGACCCGCCCCACCTTCCTTGCTTGCTTGCTTTTGCTTGCTTTGACCGTTGGCAGCAAGCACAGCACCGGCAACGGCGGGCAGCCAAGCCACCTTTGCCTTGCCTTGCCTTGCTCTGCTTTGCCCTGCGCTCGGCCGACGAAAGCAGAGGCAGGCCTAGGGATCGAGAGAGAGACAGACAGGTGTCAAACCGAATTGGCCAAAATCAAAATCGAAGCCGGTCCAGGAAGCAAGGCCAGGGGCGACGCAGGCAGGCCACCGCACCCACCAGCAGGGGGCTGCGCTTAGCCGTTTCTGGGACCGCCAGAGGGTCAGCCACGCACCAGGTTTGCCGCAGGCGGGCAGGCGGACAGGCCGGTCGGCCATCTGAAATGCCCGGCACAGGGAGAGGCGGCCAGCCAGCCAGCCAGCCAGCCATCTGAGCTGGGTCCACTCGCACCCACCCACACCCACACGCCGCACCCATGCTGCTGCTTTCGACGACGACGACGACGACGACGACGGCGGTGGCCTGCGACGGCCGCGCCGAGCGGCCCTCGTCCTGGTCGCCTCTCTGTTTTTTGCCCGGCCCTGGCCTGCCTGGCTACTGTACCTGGCCCGCCTGCTCGTGCGTCGGTCGGCCCGCCCGCCTGCTGCGACACTGCGCTGCGCTGCGCTGCCTTGTCCTGTCCACACGCCTTCGCCGCCCTCGTTCCTCTCTTCCGCCGCGTCACCTTTCCTTCCTGCTCCTCGTCCACCTCCAAGTCATCCCCCCTCCCCTCGCTCGCACGCTGCCGGCCTGCCTGTCCGCCCCTTCAAACATTTTTTTTTTGTTGTCGTGACGTGCCGTTGTTCGTGAGCCCAGCCAACCCGAGACAAGGCCCCGCCCAATTTCCCAGCTGCCTGCCTGCCCGCCTGCCTCGTTGCCTGACTGCTTGCCCGCCCGCCTGCCCGCCTGCCCGCCTGCCGCCGCCGCCGCCGCCGCCGCCGTCGCCTGCTGGGTGAGTGGCTGTCTGCCTGGCCCACTTCCGGGCTGCGCTTCTCTTCTGCCTCGGCACCTGTTTCTGCCCTGCCCTGCCCGGCTGCTCCATCACTCTCCTTCCCCTGCCAGCCTCCCTTCCTGCCCTCTCCACCACGTCGAGCTTCCCACTCCACCACCACCACCACCACCACCACCACCACCACTACTACCGCCGTCACCCCCACCACCGACACCACCGCCACCACTACCATCACCACCGCCACCGACACCACCCCCACCACTGCCACTGCAGCCGTTCTACCCCTGTCGGCCATCCAGCCTCGTCGATTGCGGACGACTTCCGGCCTCTATCGCCACTGGCGACCGCCCGACAACCACACACGCCCTCACTTGGCCTGTCGGCAGATCCGCTCTTGGCAGAGCGACGGCCAATCGCACACACCCTCGTCCAACGCTGGCTGCCGACCAGCAGCGGCGTCCGATCGTCCAAGTCGCCGCCTTTGCATCCCACTGTGGCGTGGACCGACTCGCTCTTCAAACACGCTGGCGCCTACCTCGCCCGCATCATCGATCTCCGCCGTTCGCCCCTCGACAGCCTCTTTGTATCGCTGTCGCATCCGGCCTCGTTCGACCACTTGCCCGCCGGCATCCGCTGCTGCGACTGTCGATCCGCACCCTCGCCTGACTCAACGGCGCCTTCCATCGCACCAACCCGCCTTGCCGACTCGACGCAGCATCGACACCCAAGGCGACCGGCGGTCCTGCACCAGCCACGGCAACTAAGCACACCCGCTCCCGCTCCATAACTCGACGTGCACGACGGCAGCATCCCGAGCTTCGGCTAGACGCGGCAACGGACCGCCGAAGCCCTGGAGATCGGCCACCGCCAGCTGGTGAGTGTCACTTTTGTCGTCGTCTCCAAGGGCGGCCTTGGGGTTGCAGTCGGCAGACGTGCTGGGCCGCATCGGACCTCGACCCGCCCGCTCTGTCCACCTCCGCCCTCTCGCCGCCCTCTCGCCGCCGTCTCGTCTTCCAGTGCTCATCCCTTTCTCCGTCTGTGTCTCCTTTCACGCCCGAACGCTGCCCGTCGCACACTGTGACTGCCCGGACTCAGCCCAGCCACTCGTCTCAAACACCAACCCACCCCCGTCCCTCGTTTTGACCAGCGGCACTCGGAAGCGCCCATGCCAGCAGAGGTAGAGATGCCCCCTCCGCCCCCTCTTTCAGCATCGCGGTCGGGCCCCGGCCCGTCTCCTCGCGAGCGCGACGTCGGTTCCATCAGGCCCGGGTCACCAAACCACTTCTACCGCGATGCCGCGCCGCCGGGAGGCTACTACCAGCCTCCGCTCCGCTCCATCGGCTCTGGCGAGGCGGCGTGGTCGCGCAGGTCGCCGCGGCTCGACGAGCGGTCGCTGCCACCCTCGGGCGAGCTGGGCGGGCATCGCGGTTCCATCCCGCGGACAGAGCGCATGCCGCCGTCAGCGGGCGGCTACGGTCCGGCCTCGGCAGGTCCCTCTTCATCCGGACACAAGCCCGACTCTGACCGCCTGCCACCTGTCTCGGCCATTGATCCAGCCTTGGCCGAGGCCCACCAGCCCGCGCCGAGCCACGACGCCTACGAGCGCAATCTGCCGTCCGGCCGGGCGCAGGGCCCCCAGGATTCCGTGCGTGCCGACGAAGTTGGCGGCGGCGGCGGCGGCAGCGGCGCCGCCCACGCGAGGAGCTATTCGGCTCGCGAATACGCCATGGGCCGCGGCGGCATCGACGGTGCTGCCCGAGCACCGATGCGAGGTGCGCGCACGGCTCCAGCTCGTCGTCTGCCGACTGGGAATCGGCCTCG